GAGTTTGTTAATTTTTATTTCCTAATGTGTCTAAGTTATAAAGTACATAAATAAAGAATATATATAAACACATTTACTGAAAGTAAAACTATTTATAGTCTAACAATAAAAGAATATCTTAACTTGATATTAAAGGACAACATATTAAATTTTTTAAAATTATATTTTAATTTTAAATATCTTAAATAGATAGATAAAGGACAAGCATCTTACCGCTTAGGCATCTTCGACGATATTTGTGGTACACTTGTTGGGTAAAGCCATTTTCCTTCAAAAGTTCATGAGAAGGATGCTGGAACTTTGGGAATGAATGAGGAGTACATCCATAACTTCCTGCTAGTGGTGCGCCTTCTGAAGGTGAAGCATTTGAAGTGCTGTTTGAGGAAGTGGAAAAAAGCCTTCAAAATGAAAAATCAAGAACCAAGTATATGAACCAATTTGTACTATTTTTTTCATTATTGGGGGTCTAAGCAGTGGAAAAGACAGTAGTCTCTAAAACTCTCCTAAATTAATGATATACAGATCTGCATATAGTGCTATTTATGTTCAATACAGTTTATGTAAATTCAGAAGCTGATAAAAAGCATAGTCATAAACTCTCAAGTTAACACAGTAAGTAGAAGCAGGTAACTGAATAGCTCATTCCTCCTCCAAATCATTATTAATTTAGTTTAGTTTATTATTATTATTATGGTACTGTAGAAATTTTCAACTTATCTTGAATAATTTAGATTAATGATGTAAATTGAATACATGGAGATTAGGGATAAAATCTGGCACAAAGATAGGCAATAATTTCATTATGTCGAAGACATACCAGCGATTTCCTTTTTTCTCTAAAGGCATCAAAAGTAAGACAGAACCTGCAATTCTCTAAATCAATTCCACTTTTGATCTATCTCCTAAATCTGTCTTTTCCTTCTCATCTGCACTCAAATTCAAATTTAGACCTAAATTAAAATTTAGACCTTCCTCTTCTTTCACTTGAATTATCCAGTCTGTTTTTCCAAGGGTCCCTTCTCTATCCTGCCACCAAAATTATCTTCCTAAAACATTTATCTAAATCATTGGTTCTCAAAGTGGTCTGCAGCATCATAACTCAAAATTTCATTCCTTTTTGTGGCTGAATATTTATATTCCATTGTATGTATTTATCTAGTTATTTGTTGTTGGATACTTGTTTATCCAGTCTTTTGTTGAGATTTCTACTTTTTGGCTATCATGAATAATGCTGCTACAAACATGGACATCCAATATGTGTTTTCAATACTTTTGACATATAACTAAGAGTGGTATAGCTGGGTCATATGGTAATTCTATGTTTTAACATTTTGAGAAAATGCTAAAACTGTTTTCTACAGCAGCTGAGGCATTTTATATTCCCACCAGCAATGCATGTGGGTTCTAATTTCTCCACATCCTCACAAACATTTATTTTCAGGTTTTTTTGCTTATACATATCTATATTAGTTAGCTCAGGCTGCCATAAAAAGATAGCACAGACTTGGTGGGTTAAACAATAGAAATTTATTTCTTTGCAGTTCTAGGGGATAGAAATCTAAGGTCAGTATGACAATAGGGTTGGTTTCTGATGAGGCCTCTCTTTCTGACTTGCAGATAGCCATCTTCTCGCTGTATCTTCATATGGCCTGTCTTCTGTACAGGCACAAAGAGAGATATTTCTGGTGCCTCTTCCTCTCCTTATAAAGACAACTTCTATCAGATTAGGACTCTACCCTTATGACCTCATTTAACTTTATCACCTCCTTAAAAGTCCTATCTCCAAAAACAGTCACATCAGGGGCTAGGAATTCAACACAGGAATTTTGGGAGGCAGGAAGGAGACATAATTCAGTTCATAACACCATCCTAGTGGGTATAAAGTGGTATTTCATTTTGGCTTTTTGAATTTATGTTTCTCTAATGACTATGTTGAGCATCTTTCCATGGGCTTACTGCCCATTTGTATATCTTCTTTGGAAAATGTCTACTGAAGTCCTTCACACTTTTTTTTTTAAAGACAGGGTCTCCCTCTGTCACCCAGGTTGGAGTGCAGTGGCGTGAACATGTTTGACTGCAGCCTTGAACTCCTGGGCTCAAGCAATCCTACCATCTCAGCCTCCTGACCTACCATCTCAGCCTCCTGAGTAGCTGGAACCACAGGTGTATGCCACCATGCCAAGCTAATGTTTTGTTTTGTAGCGACAGGGTTTTGCCATGTTGCCCAGTCTGGTCTCAAACTCCTGTGCTCAAGCGATCCTCCTTCCTTGGCCTCCCAAAGTGCTAGGATAACAGATATGAGCCACTGTGTTTGGCCTTTTGCATATTTTAGAAAATAAGGGTTTTGTTGTTGTTATTGTAAGAGTTCTTTATATATTCTAGATTTAAGTCCCTTATCAGATATATTATTTGCAAATAATTTCTCCCATTCAGTGTGTGGCCTTTCTTGTTGATAGTATCCTTTGATGTACAGATGTTCATTTTTCTTTCATCATTTTGATGAAGTCCCTTTACCTATTTTTTTTCATTAGCAGGTAGCCGTGTACATGTGTCTATTTTTTGCTGTTGCCTATGATTTTGGTGTCATATCCATAAACAATGAGGCCAAGGCCGGCACGGTGGCTCACGTTTGTAATCCCAGCACTTTGGGAGGCCGAGGCAGGTGGATCATGAGGTCAGGAGATCAAGACCATCCTGGTTAACACGGTGAAACCCCGTCTATACTAAAAATACAAAAACTTAGCCGGGCGTGGTGGCAGGCACCTGTAGTCCCAGCTACTCGGGAGGCTGAGGCAGGAGAATGGTGTGAACCTGGGAGGCGGAGCTTGCAGTGAGCAGAGATCACGCCACTGCACTCCAGCCTGGGCAACAGAGCAAGACTCCGTCTCAAAAAAAATGAGGCCAAATCCAATGTCATGAAAGTTTTCCCCTACATTTTCTTTTAAGAGTCTTATCTCTTTAGTTTAGGTTTTTAATCCACGTTGAGCTAATTTTTTTTTTTTTTTTTTTTGAGATGGAGTCTCGCTCTGCCACCCAGGCTGGAGTGCAGTGGTGCAATCTCGGTTCATTGCAACCTCCACCTCCCAGGTCCAAGCGAATCTCCTGCCTCAGTCTCCTGAGTGGTTGGGATTACAGGCGCATGCCACTACACACAGCTAATTGTTGTATTTTTAGTAGAGACGGGGTTTCACCATGTTGGCCAGGCTGGTCTCGAACTCCTGACCTCAGGTGATCCACCTGTCTCTGCCTCCCAAAGTGCTGGGATTACAGGCATAAGCCACTGCACCAAGTCTAATTTTTTTTATATGGTAAATGTTAAGGGTCTACTTTCATTCTTTTATATATGGATATCCAGTTCTCCTAGCACCGTTAGTTGAAAAGATGATCCTTGTTCCATTAAATGGTCTCGGCACCTTTATCAGAAATAAATTGTCACATATGTGAGAATTTATTTCTGGGCTCTCTATTCTATTCCATTGGTCAATATGTCTGTTCTTATGCCAGTACTATATTGTTTTCTTTGTTTTCATTTGTTTCTTTTTAGAGATGAAAGTCTCACTATGTTGCCCAGGCTGGATTCAAACTCCTGGGCTCATGCAATCCTCCCATCTCAGCTTCCCGAATAGCTGGGACTACAGGTGCATGTTAGCATGCCCAGTTTATACTATTTTAATTATTGCAGTTTTGTGGCAACTTTCAAAGTCAGGAGGTGTTAGTCTTCCAATTTTATTCTTCTTTTTAAAAATTGTTTTGGCTATTCAGGGCTACTTGCAATTACATACGAATTTGAGATGTGGCTCTTCCATTTCTGTAAAAAAGACTGTTGGAATATTGACAGAAATTAGTGCTGAAGACATAACTCATTTTGGGTAGTGCTATATTTGGATGTTTGTCCCCCACAAACCTCATGTTAAAATTTGATTCCAAAGTTGGAGGTGGAGGCCTTATCAGAGGTGACTGGATCATGGCGGCAGATCCCTCATGAGTTGATTAATGTCCTCCCTTGTTGGGGAAAGAGGGAAAGAGTTCTTACTCTACTAGTTCCCACAAGAGCTGGTTGTGAAACAAAGAGCCTAGGACCTTCCCCTTCTCTCTCTTGCCATGTGCTCTCCACACATGCAGGTCCCCTTCACTTTCTGCCATGAGTGGAAGCAGCCAAAGGCCTTCACCAGAAGCCAAGTAGATGCTGGCACCATGCTTCTTGCACAGTCTGCAGAACCATGAGCCAAATAAACTTTCTTACTTTATAAATTACCCAGCTTCATCTATTCCTTTATAGCAACATAAAGAAGGACTAAGACAGGTAATATTGATGTCTTAACAATGTTAAATCTTCTTCCCCATAAACATGGGTTGTCTTCCCATTTGTCTAGGTGTCCCACAATTTTTTCACTAAAAAATTAAGAGTCTAAAAAAACTCTAATTTTTTCTTAGAGTTTTCAGGGTACAAGTCTTTCAATTCCTTGGTTAGGTTTATTCCTAAATATTTCATCCTTTTTTTTTTTTTTTTTTTTTGAGGCAGGGTCTCACTCTGTCACCCAGGCTGCTGAAGTGCAGTGGCATGATCTCGGCTCACTGCAACCTCTACCTTCCAGGCCCAAGTGATCCTCCCACCTCGGCCTCCCAAGTAGCTGGGGCACAGGCGCGTACCATCATACCCAGCTAATTTTTGTATTTTTTGTAGAGACGTGGTCTCACCATGTTGCCCAGGCTTGTCTTGAACTCTTGGGCTCAAGCCATCCACCCACCTTAGCTTCCCAAAGTGTTGTGACTCCAGGCCTATTTAATTCTTTTAGATGCTAATGTGAATAGGATTGCTTTGTTAGTTTTCATTTCAGACTATTCATTTCTGATATATAGAAACACTGCTGATTTTTGTGTGCTGACTTTGTATCTTGCAACTTTGCTGATTTTATTAGCTTTAGTAATTTCCTGGTGGATTCTTTGGGATTTTCTATATGTAGAATCATGTTATCTGTAAATACAGTTTTACATCTTCCTTTCAAATACAATGTTGTTTTTTTCTTGTCACCTAGCTCTTGCTAGAACTTTCAGTACAACATTGAACAGTAGTGGAGAGCACAGGCATCCTCGTGTTGTTCCTGATCTTAGCGAGAAAATTTTCAGTCTTTCACCACTGACCATGATGTTAGCTATGGGTTTCTCATAAGCACTTTTTATCATGTTGAGGTATTTTCCCTCTGTTAGCTTTCTGAGAGTTTTCAATCATGAAAGGGTATTGAATTTTGTCAAATGCCTTTTCTGTGTCAATTGAGATGATCATGCATTTTTTTTCTTTAGTTCTATTAATATCATGTATTACA